CAAAAAGAGAAAGTGAAGAAAAGAAAGAGGAAGAAAACATGGATATACCGCTGCTCAAAGGTTTTTCTTTACATTTAAATCAAGTTTCTTGCTGTTATGAAATTACTTTCTTGATACTTGAAACGGATAATAATTCACCACTGATTCTAATCGTGTAGTCGACAACTTTGTACCACTTTCTCCTCCATTTCATAATCGTTGACTAATATTCCACTGTTTTATGGCTAACTAATCTTCTGGCGATCCTGACGTTTATTTCGCCTTCTGATGTCCCGCTTAATAGCCTTTCTAGGAGAAAATATATTATAAGATTAGTCAAAGTCAAAGATTAAAAAACCTTCGGTAAGTCATACATTGTGAAAGTGCAAGCATTCAAAACGAGCATTTCTGATCGAAGCAAGAATGCTTTTGCAGTTTTTCACATGGAACTTCTGGAAAACTGGGGTGCACCGGATTGTATTGGTCTGACTGGTCTAGAATTTCTCGGACCACATGGGATCATTTTGGAGCATTTGGACTGTAATGTTACCGCATCCGTTGCTTCACAAATCGCCCACAGGTATAGATCTTTACTGCAAATATGTTAGCATTCAATTTTTGTTCATTGTTTGACAAATTTTCTTCGAACATGTGGTAAGCAAAATTCAAGCGATAACTGCTTGATTTGATTAATTCACAATTTTTTTTGTGATTTACATGGCCAAAATAGACGTAACTGTTAGTTTCTTCCAAAACCGCATATTTTTAATCTGATCCCAGACAAAGCGGCATTTTGCATTACCTTCTTTTTCGATGTGCTGGTTTTCAGAACCACTTCCTTATTTCGCATTAAGCTTTTCTTAAAAGCCAAAAGTACCATCCTTAGTCTCCATGTTCTTTATAACTAAAAATTACCAAATACCTCTTGCCAATAAAAAACCCAATTCAACTCGTATATTTTTCTCATTGTTCTACTTAATCATGATTTCAGTAGTTAGATCTCCTAAACTAATGATTTCAGGCTATTAAATGGGAAAAATTTAACGAGAAATAGACAGGATATGTGGTTGGCTCCTTACTCGCAACATACGCAACCACCACGAATAACAGTAAC